TCCCTGCCTTTTCTCCCTTATCCTTCTTCTGCTCTCTGCTCTGGACTGACTGCAAGTTCCTTGCTGTCATGAACTGTCTGCAAACTAACTTCGCTCAGGCTTGTTTCAGCTGCTGAACAAACCAAACCTGGAGAGTCAGCAAATGAGAGCCAGCCACGAAACCACAACCCCTTAGAGAGAGCCTGGCGGTGGGAGGCTCTTCCTTCTGCAACTCACCTGTTCAAGAGCCTTACTGAGGAAGCTGGTCTTCAGCTGCAAGATGTTCCCCACAAGGGGCAAAGGCGTTGGGCCCGGCGGGAGCCTTCCCTTGCCCTGCGTCCTGCTCCTCACGACGGCCAAGAGGAGAAGGCAAGAGAGACAAACTCCCAGGAAAAGGGTGACCGTCCCCAGAGGCTCCATGGTGGCTGGCAGTGGGTGCAGCAGGATCTCCAGCGGCCAGGAGGAGAACCTTATTTATACTCCACAGCCTGGACTTTGCACATCTGATGCTCTGGAGCACGATCAAGTTAATCAGTAGGTGTTCCAGGTTGAATTACCAAATTACGGTAAGCCAGTAGGTATTCTGCCTTGTTCATGATCAACTTCTCTGAACCGGAGTGTTCTCAAAGTGTTCTCTTTTATTTAATACTGGTTTATTAGGCAAGAAGGGACGTGGTGGTGCTGTGGGCTAAACCGCAGAAGCCTGTGCTGCAGGGTCAGAAGACCAGCAGTCGTAAGATCGAATCCACGTGACGGACTGAGGTCCCGCCTCTTGTCCCAGCTCCCGCCAACCTAGCGGTTTGAAATTATGCAAATGCGAGTAGATAAATAGGGACCAACTCGGTGGGAAGGTAACAGCATTCCGTGTCTAAGTCACACTGGCCATGTGACCATGGAAGATTGTCTTCGGACAAAACGCTGGCTTTATGGCTTGGAAACGGGGATGAGCACCGCCCCCTAGAGTCAAACACGACTGGACAAGAATTGTCAAGGGGAACCTTTACCTTTACCTTTATTAGGCAAGAAGGTGGCTGTGTTCTTGTGACTTTTGCCAAAGGGGCAGCCGGGGTCCTCTGTGGCAGCAAAACCAAGAGAGATTCTTGCTGCAATGTTTGAAAAGGAAAAGATCAATCTGTGTAGGGTAGCTTGGCCTTCCCTGGACAAAAGTCCGCATCATCCACCACACAAAGCATTGTTCAGAATTTGGGGGATGTCCTCAGGGTCCCCGGATGGTGGCAGGAAAGCAGACCTTGGGCAAGAAAAGAAGGGAAAGAGAAGGAAAGCCTTCCAGCAGAGGGACCAGGGCATCCTTGACACCGGCCAGTCACAAAACTCTGGCTTCTTCTTCTTTTAATGCCAGAAAGAGTTGCGTGGTCCAGAATTTGACCCCGGGTGAAGAGGTGGTGACTGGTGATGAGACCACCTCGGGGCCCTCTTGGTGCACCCCCACCCCCTGCTGCCCAAGGATCTCCTCAGCCTGAGCTTGCAGAGGGGCCAGAGGTGGCGCTGAGTTCCTCCCAACGGATTGTGCTGGGGGTTTCTGACGTTAGTTGTCAGACCAACAGCTGTATCAGGGGCAGCTCATGGACACCACGGGCACGTCTTGATGGATACCTGGCCTAGACATGTACAGAGCATCCTCATAATCTGTTGTTGTTTTTAATTGGGTGGGGTCAAGGGGAACAAGGGGGTGTCTCTTCCCCTCCCCTCCAACTCCCAACCTCTGGCTCTGCAGCCAGGTCCCTGAACCACTGAGCTCTCCAGCCAGTGCTGCACTTCTAATCATCTCCACAGACCATCATCTGACATCAAGTGGCTGGACTGTCTCTCTGGGTTCTTTGTTGGAAGTGCTGATGAATCCCCTGGGGCAAGAGAAACACCCATTGGTGTGAATTAGAGGTGCTTTCGTCATCCTGTGTCCACCGAAGACCAACTTAGGGTAATGTTTCAACTATATATGCCACCCAGAGTAGACTTGGCTCTAAATTGCCAGGGTATCAATTTAATAAATAAATTAAATAAATAAATAAATAAATAAAACCTATGTTATATAACTAATTATAAAAGAAATCTTAGCAAGGCAACCTTGCCATCAAAGCCTCTGTGCAGTTCACCAGAGTTCAGCCACTCTGGGCCTCCTGCCCGTTCTTCCGGTTACATAAGCCAACTCTGTTCAGCAGTTTCCACAACAGGAGGATCCTGCCAGTTTAATGGATGAGCAAAGATAAATCAAAGGTCCGCGTAGTTAAAGCTATGGTATTTCATGTAGTGATGTACGGAAGTGAGAGCTGGACCATAAAGAAAGCTGACCACCAAAGGATTGATGCCTTTGAATTGTGGTGCTGGAGGAGACTCTTGAGAATCCCCTGGACTGCAAGGAGAACAAACCTATCAGTTCTAAAGGAAATCAACCCTGAGTGCTCACTGGAAGGACAGATCCTGAAGCTGAGGCTCCAGTACTTTGGCCATCTCATGAGAAGAAAAGAGTCCTTGGAAAAAACCTTGATGTTAGGAAGGTGTGATGGCAAGAGGAGAAGGGGACGACCGAGGATGAGATGGATGGACAGGGTCATCGAAGCGACCAACATGAATTTGACCCATCTTCGGGAGGCAATGAAAGACAGGAGGGCCTGGCGTCCTCTGGTCCATGGGGTCACGAAGAATGGGACACAACTAAACGACTAAAGAACAACAAAAGATATATCAAGTTCAGGGTCAACCCAGTGTGTGTGTATCTTAGTTCTTGTTTGAGTGCAGAGGGTAAAGAGTCAGGGGTGCTGATCCACCAGAGGAACAGAAGGGGGCAGTCAGAAAGGAGGAGCTGCGCACAGGGTGCAAATGCAAGGCGCAAGGGCCATTTTGGGGACCATGCCGGCCAACCCAGTGGGTGGGAGTGGATCCTTGTGATGCTCCCAGAGAGAGGGGGGGGACTGGAGAGGGAAGGAGGCTGTCCCCGAAGTAGGAAGGAGGTGCTGATACCCTCCTGGATTTCAGCAATGGCACTTCAGGGTACACATGCAGGAGGGGCAGTGAAAGGGAGCAATTTCTCTCTGCCTGGTTTGGGACAAGGGCTATTCCACAATAAAAGCGCTCCGTACTGCAAGCTGTTAGGTTCTTTCATGCAGCCCAAACGTCTTTCCCTTTAGGCAGAAACTTCCTTTTTACGAGTCCCAATTAGAAATCAAATTAAGAGCAACACCACATTTAATGAGGAGGTTTGGGGGTGGAGTTTGTTTGAGGGTAGTCCTTTTGGGACAATTCCATTCTGCTTTGTCGACTGTTGCTACTGTTTCTGGACCCCTCGGATTAAGAAGCCAAAGTTCAATAGGGACATTTTTCTAAGTCCCTGGTGTATTCTGTTGACCACATCCAGAAAACAAGCTATATTCTTTGGGTAGTTGGTTGGCGGAAGGATCATCCTTCTTGGGCTCATTCCTCTCTTCCAGATGATACATGGTCTTTTAATCACACTTTGTTGATCTGGGATCTTGACAGCAGTGATAGTAAACTAACAACTTCCATTTGGCTTTGCCAGCCGTTCCCATGGCCATGCTAATGGATCTTTTCATGTTGTCAACGTAGGCTTTAACGGACAATTATTCTATCCAAGCATCCTACAATGGAATGCAATGATGCTGGCTCTGTACAATAACCAAGGAAAACTGTTGTGGCTGTTTTAATGTTTTACATGTTGGTTTTGTAGTAAGAGAGGGGTTATGCTGGCTGCAATAGTAGCCAAACCCATGCACAACCCGTCAATTACTAAAGAAGACAGGTGCTACGGCACAGAATAAAATATGGCATAATGTTGCCATCATGTCGATGGAACACTGTGTAGGAATAGGCGTCGCCCATGTATGCTAACCAGAAAAATGATGTTCTCTTGGCATCACATTGCTTTCTCCAGGAAATGTATGTGGGTTTAAGAAGTGCTGTCTTCCTGTCCCTGACTTGGCCGTGGGGACTTCTCCAACATTCTTTCATTTGGGAATCCGCTAACAAGGATCCACCCTAGCCTTTCACCACCTGTCATGGAGGTGGAAGAGGAGCTATGTTGCACATTAGGAGGTGCATAGGGAACTGTTGCAGTCACAGGATGCTGGGAATGGTACTCTTCAATGGCACGCATCCAGCTGGTTATTTACATCTCTAGGTTAAAGCTAAGAATGTGTCCAGAGCCCCTTACAATAGCCAAACTCTCTATTTTGCTATTTGTGTAATTATCATTCAGCAGAGTGCACACAACAGATGGCAAACCAAGTGAAGTCCTCAGAAGCATTGAATGAATAACGCCCAGAGAAAGAAGGGGCAGTATTATTAAGGTAGCTCCTCTGCCCCAATGGAGGCACATTTTGTGTGTAAAAGTCAACAGTGGGGGAAATCTTGCAATGGGGCTTATTGCACCATGCATTTATTTCTTTAGAAATACTTATATACTTACCTTTAAAACCAAATTGGAAAACAACTATATATTTTGCAAAATTGGTAAGTGCCTAGCAGTGACAGTAGTTTATGGAAACAGTATTTTGCCCATGCCACAGAACTTTTTAATCAATATTTTTTTCAGAATGTGTCAATGGAACCACCATATAGTGTTTACATTCTTATTAAAGTATCAGAAAAATACAGCAACTCTATGAATACCATTTTTGCTGCCCAGCAAAGAATTGTATTTATTGCAATTCTATTGGAAAAGGTTTTCTATGGAAACAATCAACAGCACCAGTTAATAGGCACTGCAGCAACATTCATTCAGAAACGGAGATACTAACCATTAGGTGACATATAGTGTCCCCATGACAGGGTGAAGTTGCAGGTGCGATAGTTGGAGCCCCACTAAGCGGGGTGGAAAATTAGAGGGTACATTCACCATGGATGTAGAGTAGAGATGGAGATGAATCCAAAAAATAGTGATTCATTTTGATTCATGAGGTTAATGAATACGAATTTAGGAATATCCTTTGATGAACTGATGAATGGATTTGGGAGAGGGCTAGCCAATCTGTGGCACTGATGCCTACCTCTCTTCCCCCCGGGCAGATTTGGCATGAGGTACATGATGTCTTCCAAAATGGCCTTATGCTCCACCAGGCAGGACACCATGGTGTAGGTGGAGTGCAACTGGCGGATGGCTGAGGCTTCCATGGTGGACAGTGGAAGTTCAAGCAGGGCAGTTGTCTCGGTGACAAGATGAGTGGCCACCTGCTGGGCCTCCCCCTTCGACCACTGGCTGAGTGTCATGGCAGACCCAACGGGTGCCACTTTGTGGAGCTTGGCCTGCCTCGTGCTCCCGGACCCAGAACCCCCTGTGGCTGCCCCTTTGGAAAGAGGTGCCTCCTTACATCTCCTGACATCTCTCCCTGGAGCTTCTGTCTTCCCTTCCCCAGATGGTGCTGATGAAGTGCCTTCCCCGGACAGGAGCCTTGGGTGCTGCCTCTCCAGATGTTGGTGGAGGGCGGTGGAGGACAGATCCCTGGGGGCTGACCCTCTCCGGACTACCACAAGGCAGGCATTGCAGCATGCCAACTGTGGGTCATCACTGACCACTGTGAAATGATCCCGCATGCCCCCTCTGCCATGTTTGCCCTAATAATGACCCACTTCTTGCCCCTGACCACTGGCCTGGAAAGAGCTCTGTGTCCCAGGGGTGCTGCTAGTCTGGGAGGAGGGAACAGATTACTCCGGGGACAGGGGTGAGGGGCTGTGAAACCTGCTCTGCCGTTACTGGTTCCAAATTGGACAGGGGATCTTCAGAAACCAGTAACTCCTTAGAGTCCTCTAGGAAGAGGAGTGGCAGCTCTTTGGGCACCTCTGGAAACTTTGCTTCCATGCTTGCCTGCAAGGCCACCGGAGGAGGAATGGTGGTGGTGGTGGTGGATGTGGTGGTGCCACTGCCTAGCCCACGTAGCTTCACAGCCTTCTTCCCCTTTGATTCCCCATGATGGAGAACTCTCTTCATTTTCTACTGCCTGCCAAACCAACTAAACAAATAATAAAGCAATGGGGATTGGGGAAGTAAACTAATAGAGAGTCAGAGAGAGTGTGAATTTTGTTTTTTAAATGATGGTGGGGAGTGGTGAACTAATTATTTTACTAAAATGTGACTTGCCTAAACAAAGCGCCCCCCCCCAGTGCAATGTAGGCTCCAATACTTTGGCTGAGGCTCCAATACTTTGGCCACCTCAGGAGAAGAGAAGACTCCCTGGAAAAGACCCTGATGTTGGGAAAGTGTGAAGGCAAGAGGAGAAGGGGACGACAGAGGAAGAGATGGTTGGACGGGGTCATCGAAGTGACCAACATGAATTTGACCCAACTCCAGGAGGGAGTGGAAGACAGGAGGTCCTGGAGTGCTCTGGTCCATGGGGTCATGAAGAGTCGGACACAACGAAGCGACCAAACAACAAGTGTAATGTAAATTAGGAAATTAAATGAAGTAGTGTCCACACAAATCCCCCCCCCACTGTGGCTGAACACGAGCCAAAAATAAGCTCCAAAAAGAATTAATTTTTTTAAAACTTAAAGCCCTACCAGCTAAGGAAACGAATATACCGTTGTCCATCCTCCCCCTCAAGGAAGATGTTTCCAAAACATGCACACCATGTTCATTTCCTGAATATCCTACATGTGTGCTAAAAATCTTGCTGTGTGGTCTGCGGTCCCTTGTTGGATCACAAAGTAGAAGTACGTCTTGTTCCAACTCCCCTCTGCCTTGTCCCTTGGGCATTGCCCAGGAAGGTGACTTCTATCTACAACTCCAGTAAGGGTGGGAATCCTGTCAAGGATAATTTCCACACTAAGGCAGAACAAGGCCTATAATAATTATCAGCCATATTTGACAGCCATATTTGAATCAAACCATATTTGATTCAGCAAAATGCTGAATCATGGAGAATGTGTATTAAATGAAGTAGTGTCTGGGGTGATGCGATGTCTTCACTTATTGGCTATATGTAAATTGTGCATGTGTATAACTGTGTGGACACATGGAGAAGATGTAGGAACTCTTCCGAATGTCGTGCTGTCATGCTGCTGGTTTGTACTGCCAAAAACTTCTGTATATATTGTAAATATACTTGGTGTTGGAAGAAGCTGTCTTTGTATGTGTGGTTCAACTGAACTGCCTGGATTGGGACAAAACTCTGCAAATTTACAGCAAGGGGTTATGGACCCGGAGATGTCTTCCTTGTGCCAGAGAAGCCGCTGAGTGCCAGAGGGTATCACAAAGACCAGAAGTTGAGAAAGCCCAGTAAGGTGAGCGTCCTGCCATTTAGAGCCCAGGAGGGGTAGAGGATGGAGGACAGAGATGAAAAGGCAACAAAATGCAGTCAGTTGGGACAGCAGGAATAAGTTGAGAAAGCCCAGTAAGGTGAGCGTCCATAATGGCTTGACCATAATGGAAGCATATCAGAGCAGAGTGGCATGGAGTTCACAGAGAATCACAAAGTATATGTGATCCTGAGCAGTCTTCCAGAAGACTGCAATATGCTAGTAACAAGCCTTGAATCCATGCCAGAGAGGAACTTAACCCTGGAGTATCTGACAGGCAGATTGTTGGAGGAAGAAGACAAAACGAATGAGAGGTCCCAAGTCAGAATGAGAGATGACATCCCACAGTACATTAATGGCTTGTGGACTGGAATGGGGGCATTTCATCCCAAACTTTCAGCCTGAATGAGGAACAGATGAAACTAAATGACAAGGCTTTAACAACAATGGTTCTGTGCTTAGAGGACAGCCAATTAATACACGTGCATGGGCTGACCTCAGCTACACAGTGCTGGCAAGCTTTGCGCCATGTCTATGTTCTGGACTTTGCTGGCAGGAAGGTTGCTCTGATACATAAATTATACAGAGCAAGGCATGACCATAATGGAAGCATATCAGAGCAGAGTGGCATGGAGTTCACAGAGAATCACAAAGTATATGTGATCCTGAGCAGTCTTCCAGAAGACTGCAATATGCTAGTAACAAGCCTTGAATCCATGCCAGAGAGGAACTTAACCCTGGAGTATCTGACAGGCAGATTGTTGGAGGAAGAAGACAAAACGAATGAGAGGTCCCAAGTCAGAATGAGAGATGACATCCCACAGTACATTAATGGCTTGTGGACTGGAATGGGGGCATTTCATCCCAAACTTTCAGGGGTCAGCTTCACTGTCCCAGTCACAATGGATGTAATGATGTCACAGTCTCTACAGAAGGCTATCTATATTATTTCAGTATATTAAATAACTAACATTTCATTTGCCACCCATGCTGCCACTATTCCATAGGTAAAGGTTCTCACTGGAGGCTTGTATTACCAAACATGTATAAAGGGTACCTTTTAGGTATCCAAATATTCTTTTCACCCCCAATAAGTGTTTCTGTGCTGATTTTGCAGTATGCCTACTCAGAATATAAACTCCTGCAGCAATATCTAGCCTTTTCCAGTTTGCTAGCTATTGTGAACTCCCAATTGCTGACTGGTACACTTCTTGTTCCTCACACTCTTTGCTTTCATCCTCTGACTTTTGAAAATCTACTGCCATGGGTGTTTATATACTTTTGCAGTCTTGCATGTGGTATTTTATTAGCATTTCCTCTGTCTTCAATTTCTGATTTAGGACATAACCATTGTTATGAGTGGCCTTTTAGGCCAGATGGGTGGGGTATGAATGAATGAATGAATGAATGAATGAATGATTTCTGAACTTGAACCCCCAAATAATTCTGTATCCGGCCTAGGTTCTTTAGTTTGAACTCTTTTTTCAAATGTTTTTGAACAGATCAATTTAAGCGTGTTCTTTTGACATAAAGCATATGTCATCAACTTATCCTAGCAAAATATTTTGCTCTTTTCCATTTTCTTGAACATAAACACATGGATCTGCAAGGCTACCTTTAAACTTCAATCTTTTCAATGCTAAATCTAGGCACTTGTTCCAGTTTTGAGCAGACTGTTTAAGTCTGTAAATTGCCTTGTTTAATCTATACACCATCCCTAGTTGAGAAATCTCAAACTCAGGTGCCTGAGGCATGTATATCTCTTCTTGCAGATCTGCATTTCAGTATGCTGTAGTTATGTCAAAATGACTAACTAGGTAATTTCTTGAGGCAACCAGAGTTAATGCTAGCCTCAAAGAATCTGCCTTTACTATTGGATAAAAAAGTTCATCAGAGTGTACATTTTTTTCTTTGTGTGTATCCTGAGCCAAAAGTCTGGCTTTGTATCTATATTTCGCATTGAGTTGCATTTTTCTTTTGTAGACCCATTTGCTCCCAATTGCTTTGTGTTCTGGTGGCAATGTGGTTTCTGTAAACACTCCATGGTCATCCATGGATTGTAACTCTTCCTTCATCATAGTGTACATTTTTTTCTTTGTGTGTATCCCTGAGCCAAAAGTCTGGCTTTGTATCTATATTTCCCATTGAGTTGCATTTTTCTTTTGTAGACCCATTTGCTCCCAATTGCTTTGTGTTCTGGTGGCAATGTGGTTTCTGTAAACACTCCATGGTCATCCATGGATTGTAACTCTTCTTTCATGGCTTGTTGCCATTTCATTTGCCCTGCCTCAGGCAGAAGCAACACCTGTTAATAATTCTTGGGTTCATGGAGCACATGACGAACTCTTATTCCCCCTCAACACACACAACAAACCTTGATGGAGGTACTCCTTTGTTAGATCTTTATGACCTTCTGAGAACCTCTGGTTCTTCTTTGATGATAGGCTGCTTCTGTGCCTCACTACATTCCCCATCATCCACTTGTGAGCTGCTGGGACTTGAGCATCTTTCAGCCTCTTGCCTTGAAACCAACTCTATTCCCTGAGGTTTTTCACCATGTACACACAGAGCATGGACAGAGTTCCTACTCCAGTCCTCTGAAGATGCCGGCCACAGAGACTAGCGAAACATCAGGAAGAACAACCTTCAGAACATGGCCAAAGAGCCCGAAAAATCCACAACAACCATTTTTCACCATTGTTTACAGGTATGAACACTTCTGAGTTTGCATGAACCTTGTCCTAATTTTCATGTTCACAGAAATTGTTCACTGGAAATAACAACATTTCTGTTACCATCTAAGAATCTATATGCTTTAGACCCTTTTTCATACCCCAGAAACTTCATTTTCTTGGCTTTTCTCCTTGTTTCCTTTGGGATGTGCACCCAGGCACTACATCCAAACACTCTCATATGTTCCAGGGAAGGCTCTTTGCCATAGCACATGTAATATGAGGTCTGTTCTATGGCAGAAGGCCAAATTTGATTAATTATATATTTACCCGTTTGAATTCCCTCCCACCAGTATAAATTACTCGTTAGCATCCGCTAAAAGGGCCTCTTTCATGGTTTGCAGAACTCCATTCCTGTGTTCTGCAACACCATACTGAAATGGAGAATAGAAAATTGTTTTTCTACGATGTTTCCCTGTCTTTGTCAGCCACATCTGGAACCTTCCAGACATTAACTCAGATCCTCTGTCTGTCTGTAACTGGCCCAAGTGTTGGCTATAACATCTTTCCACAAAGTGCACCCATTCTTTGAAATGGTCAAACACTTCTGCCTGCTTTTTCATGAGGAAGCAGAATGAGAAAAGTGTGTAGTCATCCACCAGTAGGCATCCTTCAATCTCGAGAGTCTATGGTAATGTGCTCTGAATAGAGGTCTTGGAACAGCATCTAGTGTGGCTGAGAAGGGAGACAAATATAATCTGTCCCCTGTCCAGATCCCTGATTTTGCTGGCCTGGCTTTGGCCTCTTTGCCTTGGTCTCCTGAAAAAGTGCCTCTTCAAATTGGGAGAGGCTGTGATGCACCACTCTGTTGGTTTGTACTGCCCAAAACATCTGTATATATTGTAAATATACTTGGTGTTGGAAGAAGTTGTCTTTGTATGTCAACTGGACTGCCTGGAGTGGGACAAAACTCAGCAAATTTGCACCAACAAATCCAAGGTCATTGAAGCCAGCCATAATCTGCATGGAAAGAGAAGTCTTCAAGTCAACAAACCTCCCAGCATGTCACATGAGTCTAGAGAGTGGCTGCAGAAGGTGGGAGTAGTGGCCAGTATAGGAAAGGTGATGGGTGGTTTCCAAAGCATCATAACATGTTACTGCAGCAGACCCCACAGGGCTTGCCACAAAGCTTGTTGCAAGGAAAATTGGGCATTGAAAGTGTTATTGATGTGATAACAGTGGATTTCTGAACCCCTTCCCTGATCACATTCGTCCATCCCTGTCCTTTCCATAGGTCATTGCCTGGAGCCACATTCACTGGACTGCAACATGCTATCAGACAGCTGCTTGACTTTATTTACACAATAGAAGATTATGTGACCTGAGCACTGAATCTAGCAAAAGGTGGAGGCCATTGCTCTGAGGGGAGACACTCGGAAGGATAGCAGATACAAATAGCAACACATTTGTTATAGGGTATAGGTGACCTCAGGGCAGAGTCTTGCCACTCACGATGGGAACAGAGGGCATTGGCAATTTCATACAGTGTCTTCCTTGTCATCCAAGTTTCGACACCACAAGAAATTATCCCAAACTGCCAGAAAGGTTTCTGCCCACTACCTCCCTCTGCCAGGTTTAAGCCAACAGGAGCAATCCAGCCAATCTCTGTTCTCTTGTCTCCCTTTGCCGTCTCCCAAAAAACATGCCACAACAGGCCATGCATCCAGCACACAAACCTGCACTCTGCTTTTAATGTGTTTGTCCTAGTACAGTGGTGCCTCGCTTAACGAGCGCACTGTTTAATGATGAATTCGCATGGCGATCTAATTTTTTAGATTGCTAATGCGATTGCATTGCGATGTTCTGAATAGGGAAAACATCGCATTGCGATGATTGGTAAGCATTTTGCTTACTGATCTTCACATTGAGATGTTTCCCTAACAGCTGATCGGTGGTTCCAAAATGGCCACCGGGTGCCCAAATTGGCCACAGCAAGTGTTTTCGCGCCCTGCCCTCGCTTACCGTGGGCGCGAAAATGGCAGTGCTATGGAGAAACTTCGCTCAACTGTGAGTTTTGGAGCCATAAGAACGCATTAAACGAAGTTTAATGCGTTCCTATGGCTTTCTACGTTCCGTTTAGCGATGTTTTTGCATAGCGACAATTAATCCGGAACGGATTAACTTCGCTATGCTGGGCACCACTGTAATTGGAAGTGTAGCCCCATGCAAAGCAATTTCAGGCCAATCAGGAAAGGCAAAGGTAGAGAGAAACCTGCCCCTCACAGAACCATCAGCTGAAGACCCCTCTTGACTCTCTCTTTCCATCTGTTCCTTCTTTCTTCTGCCTCTCTGCTTGAATGACATCTGTCTGAATGGAGAAGTGGGGAGGGGCTGACAGTGAAGATCTGGGCAACAGCGAAACCTCCTGGTTCCTCAATAATGGATGAAAAGCAGTCATATCATGAGTAATAATATAAGAAGATTAAAAATAATGTTCTTTAAAAGTTCCTTAAAACTCAAACACACAAATACGAACAGAGAAACAATGGAGAACCTGGATATCAAAAGTTCCTTAAAACTTAAACACACAAATACAAACAGAGAAACAATGGAGAACCTGGATATCAGTAGTTTGTTGTTGTTTTTTAAACAAGTAAAATTTTATTTAGAATATAACATTACAAAACAGTCAAAGTGAAAACACTAAGGCATCAGTCACTACAAACCAACAGGTAGACAAACAACAAAATATAAAAGAAATAACCCACTATTAATTAAAACAATCCCTTTTTGGGTCAGAGACTCCAACATCATTTGGATCTCGGATTTTTCCAATTGGTTTCCAGTGAGAACTGAGTACATAAAAAATCAAATTTTGCCATACACTCCTGTCTTATATCAGTACTGTACTTTGTAATGGCTCTTCCCTGGCTGGATAGGTTGGCCATATTAAGATGCTTAGAGATCAGTCAAAGTGAAGTGACGACCCAAGACTTAAACCTAAAAAATGACATACATCAAACATAAGTTTTTCAGGACTTTGAGGAAAAGAGTCCTCTAAGGCAGTGGTTCTTAACCTTTTTGAAAGAAATGCCCGCTTGAGCCATTGAGGAAGTTATCATTGCCCCCTTCCCCATGGCAATATCTTTCTTGTTTATTTGTTTATTTGTTTATTTGTTTATTTATATTAGTGGTTATAATATGATCCTATCAGATTAAGTTAGGCCAGTGAACTTGGCCAGTGAACCCCGTTGATGAGTATGCATTAAGACAAACTCCTCTGAATCACTGAATTCAAGTGCTGGATCACCATGTTGATGCACTAGCGTCTCTATTAAAATAATACTCAATGACGCTGTATGGAAGCAATGTGATTAAGCATTCTTCTCCATCATGACCTCTCCACTGACAGATAGAATCTCCAGCCTGAGAGAATGACTGGAAGGCTATAAAAACTCAAACCAACTCTTCACAATCAGCTTATTTTTGAGACATCGCCAATGTTATTAATAATGCATTTTTTTTGTTGTCAAAATATATCAACATTGTAGTTCTTCCCTAAACAGAGTTCATTAGGAATCACTTCACAACAATGCTTTGTTTTGCAAGCAACAAACAAAGCAACCACTCACGGTCAACTAGAATTCACAGTCAGGAAAATTGCATCTTTTGGATAGGGAAATGGCTAAATTAGCTTATGGAAATCTGTTTTAAAGTATCAGCATGCATTTGTTGACATAAGAAAATGAACAATGTGTATTCAGGCAGAGAGATTAAAGTTGCTGGAAACATTTCTTAATTGTTCTTGTTGGCTAATAAGAAAGGGATGTTTGAGCAGTGTCAACTTTCTTTAAAAAAAAAACTCAGTTGGAGCTTGTACCACATGTAAAATGGATGTTTTCTGAGGGCCGTCATACAGAATCACAATTGCTGGAATCAAACTTTATCAGTGTAACAATATGTTAATCCAATTTTAGGACATCCTAAATTCTGTTGTTTACCAGAAACAGTAAGTTTCGATTTCCATTTTATGTTTATTTATGTCGAAGGGAGAGAAGACATCCAGTGATCAAGATTTCTGCTGCTAAAACAGATGGGTATCTTCAGTGTTGGTAGACAGGACTGGCTATTTCTTCACATGTACTCATTAATTCTGTGTCCATTAAGAAAACACATCACCTGGGGGGGGGGAATACCATGCCTTAACTTAAGCATCTGGGGAATTCTTCCTAGAAAATAAAGTAATTTTACATTCTGTTTGATTGGCAGCTTTAACAATGATATTCCATAATGAATTAATCTCTCAGCAATGTGGTTCAACCTGGACACATACACTTCTAGTTTTCATGAATCCCTTTTGGCTTTTTATAAGAAAATGGGAACAAAGTTATTGTTATTAAATACAGTGATGTTAAACATACCTTTTGTCCCATCCTTTCTCCAAGAAGCTTACTAAGCTTGATGGCTGACAGGGGACTTGAACCCATGTTCCCCATTTAAAGTTTAGCATTCTAAATGTGTAACCTCTGGTCTGAGCTACAGCGAGGCACCACTGTAATTTATGTTTGTAGTTAATAGGTATGTAAGCTTTAGTTGCCACTTTTTCAGATTTCAGTTAAAATCGTGGCCTGCTCTCCAAACAGATTCCAGCTACCCCCTTTTTCATGGGTTCATTTTATTTTCAGGCTCCCAGTTATGCAATACAGTCCCCCCCCCCCCAAATGTCCTGCTGCTTTGGGAAGGAGCGGTTTTGAAACTTCTTAAGGGGGAATGAAGTTTGTGTTAAGCAAGAAAGAGGGGGGGGGAATCAAAATGTGTTTTGTGGAAAACAATTGCTGCATGTTTTGAAGTCAAGCGCATGCTCTGTGAAAACAGATTATCTTTGTCTCAGTAAAGGGCTCTCTGATGTTCATAAATGTACAGTTTTGCTGTCTGGCTAGAAAATGTTGGCAGGCTGAAAGAAAACACCCACTGCCAGATGGTTTCTGCTGGGCCAGAGGCCTCCTTCTCCTCAGCGAGGGAGAACGCAGAGTTGATAAGGCCGAGGGAAGTTGCCAGAACTGCTCATGAGAGGAGAGAGGTTGATGTCCTTGGGATCCTGGAGGGGCTTCAGTCTGAAGTGCTGCAGGATGGTGGTCAAGAAGAGGAACAGCTCCATGCGGGCAAGGCCCTCCCCTGCGCAGATCCTTTTACCTGCAAGGGAAACCAAGGCGGGAAGGTAAGCACGAGGAGGGTCTTCCTCAATGGCTGGGGGGAACCTCACAACAAGGTCAAGGGGAATGTGGCCTTCCAGGAACTCCTCCTCGGAACATTATCTGCAGCCTCTTTTCCACTTATTGTGGTGGAAGGAGAAGGGACTCTGCAGGGCATAGAGGAATAGTAGAGGTATAACAAAGACTATTGACTCATTTCTTCATTCTGGTCCTTTGAGGCAGTGGTCCCCAACCTTGGGCCTCCCAATGTTCTTGGACTTCAACTCCCAGAAATCCTGGCCAGTAGAGGTGGTGGTGAAGGCTTCTGGGAGCTGTAGTCTAAGAACATCTGGAGGCCCAAGGTTGGGGACCACTGCTTTGAGGAACTGAATTTCAAGCTGAAGGTATGGCTATATTAAGGACAGGGAATGGTTTGGTACAGTGGGGCTTGACTCATTTACTACTTCTGTACACATGGACAGATTTCCCAGGACCCCTTCGGTTGTCATGGAGTCCAGTGGTTCTTAACCTTGGGTTATTCAGGTGTTTTTGAACTGCAACTCCCAGAAACCCCAGCCAGCACAGCTGGTGGTGAAGGCTTCCGGGAGTTGCAGTCCAGAAACACCTGATTAACCCAAGGTTAAGAACCACTGATCTAGTCAACCACATGTTGATGTTAGATCGCTCGGTTTCAGTCCCTTTGGTCACTATGTGACCCTCCCTTCCTCCCTCCCCACTTCCTGCCTTCTCTGTTGCAATAGCTATCAGCCAGTAGCCATTAATGCTGTTTTTATGCACAAATGGCCGCAGGTGCAGGGTGTCATGTTGCAGTCCAATGTTTTCTCCATTTCTAAAATTAATTTTTACTAAGTGTCATATTGCTGCCTTGTTTCATTGCTGAAGAACCCTAAGTGACCTCTGCCTTCATTTCCAAAATACATTTTTAAACAATTGAATATTTTGTAACTACTGTACTATTTGGGTTTAGACTGTGTATTTAGTCTACACTGAGAGGTGTTGAGCAACATCAACTTTGCACACACACACAGAGCAAGCCGAGAGGGAATGGGCTGATGTTCAAAATGATTGACATCCTCCAACGTCAATGCCAGAAAGCAGCCAATGTCACTATTTTGTGCAACTGGCTTTTTGTGCAGTTTTCCTTTATGTATGTGTAGCTTTTATCTTGAGCTCCTGTTGAGACCTCCATGGAGGGTTCAAGCTTTTCCAGGATAACTCAGAAGGGACTTGACATTGACTCCCACCGGTCTTGCATCCTTGCACCAAAATTGGTAGATGAGGATTACCCCAAGGTGGTGGACAATTGGGGGAGGGGAAGATGGGCCCTTTTACCTGCCGAGAAGGGCACGAAGTAGTCACTCTTCCGAAAGGTCCCGTCTTTGTTCAAGAAATGCTGTGGGTCAAATTCTGTCGGGTTTGGAAACTCTTTGCTGTCGTACAGCACAGAGGTCAGGACAGGGAAGATGACTGTGCCCTGAGGAGAGGGAAAAGAAGCAGGTTATGCCGTTTGCTGTCAGTGTTTGAGCAGAGATACTTTTGATGTAGCTTGTGCTTCTCCTCCCTTCCCCCAACCAGGAGCCAGGTTTCCAAGCCCCCTTCTTAGCCCCTTTCCCTTTCCTTCTCGTTCCTCTTGGCTTTTCTGTCCAAATCCAATGTTTTAAACAAAGGTGGACCTCTTAAAATCAGTGAAATTGAGCTTGGTTGGGACCTTGATTTCCCCTCTGGTGCAGGTAATCTACTCTCCCTGGGACACGCTGTTGCATTCAAGCCTTTATGTTTGCCGTTCATTTGGACAAGTGTATGTACTTAGGATCCTCCAAAGGTCTCCCACGGTTGTTATTGTGACCAATTTGTGTGAACTGATCGATGTATTGTTCAATGATGTATTGCAAGGAGAAGGGAGGCCACGGCTCCTGGAACGGCAAATGAAGCTGGTGGGGTAAGCGTCTGCTGTGTACGGGTGATGTATCAGGACTGAAACAAAGGTGACTAATGACAGATTGGCAGATGGGAGCAGAAAGTTAGGGAATGAGGGAGGGAATGAGGGAGGGAGGGAGAGCAAAACAGATGGAGAGTCTCAGGTCTGCTTCATTGCTGATTGATCTCAACTGTCTTTCAGAGATGGGTTAAATGCAAAATGCAGCCCCCCAACAACATTTTATTCCATCCAGCATCGTTGCCCTACCAGCCACCCCATATAAACTTCTCAAATACCGTATTTTTCGCTCCATAAGATGCAGTGTTTCCCCCCCAAAAAGTGGGGGGAAAGTATGTGCATCTTATGGAGCAAATACTGTAAAAAAGGGTTCAGCCACCACCACCCTGAAGCCTCCCACCACCGTGCTGGGAGGCAGAGGGCAGTAAAAACAGCCAAGGACCAAAGGCGAAAGAGTGATTCTAGAAAGACCAGGAGATCCACAAACGCAGTCCCCCACTACCACAAATGATGCAGCTGATTTTCACACATTTGAGGAAATCACAGGTATCAGTACACCCGAAGTGCTATGGATGAGCCTCACCCTAGGAAAACCACTTTCACGATCATGGTATTTTCCCTGCCAGTATACGTTGGAGTGGCTCCTGCCCCTCCTGCCCCTCAAGGCATGGTGACCCCCCACCTGGCTGCATCTCCTGCTCAGGACAGGGCTGCACAGCCCCAGTACCGCCAGAGGCCAAGAGAGCTCCTCAGTGTTTTGGGGTGCCCTGCGGGACCTCCATCAGAGAGACCTGGGACTGCCTCATATTGCCATTTTATAATGTAAAATTTAGTTTAAAAGCTGCTTATTTTGCTTTAAAAGCTGCCTGGGAAGCCTTTCAGACCAGCACCGATCAGCTGTTAGGTGGAGAGAGGGAGGGGAAAGGAGCTGAGAAGAGCACAAAATGGCTGCCGGCTGGGTGCCGTCTCTGAGCTGTTTGGTGCTCTTTTTCAGTTAGAAAACTAGAGTACACAAACCTTTAAGTCTCTCCATTATTTAATGACAGTGGTAATGGTTCTTAATGACACTGTTGACTGCTGTTCACTTTACATGGTTCAAATGTTATTCTGTTATAGAAGGGAAAGGAGATGAGAAGAGCACAAAATGGCTGCCGGCTGGGTGCCGTCTCTGAGCTGTTTGGTGCTCTTTTTCAGTTAGAAAACTAGAGTACACAAACCTTTAAGTCTCTCCATTATTTAATGACAGTGGTAATGGTTCTTAATGACACTGTTGACTGCTGTTCACTTTACATGGTTCAAATGTTATTCTGTTATAGTTTATTAAATATTTTATCACAAAATTTGGTTCAGAATATTTTTTCCTGTTTTCCTCCTCTAAATATTAGGTGTGTCTTAAGGTCAGGTGCGTCTTATGGAGCAAAAAATATGGTATTTGAAGATTTAAAAGAACATATCCCTCCTTCACCATTTTTCAGAAAAGTTCCTTTGAAACCTTTGCAAGGCATACAGGAATGTAATCCCTCCTCCTATTTCCCCTTACTGAAACAAAAAGCTTTGTCTAGAGGGGCGGGGTATAAATCTAAATAAAGTAAAGTAACTTTAAAAAAAAGACAATTTCTGAAAACACAATTTAAAAAACCCAATATATTATATTTCAATCCATTTTTCAGGTAATTAAAAGGAAAAAATCCTAACTGTTAGAACAGCATGACAATGGAACCAGTTACTTCGAGGGGAGGTGTTGAGTGTTCCAAAACTGGAGGTATTAAAAAAAAGTAGATAATCACCTGGCTTTGATTTTATTCCTGCCTTGAGCACAGGGTTAGACTTGATAGCTTTGTAGGCCCCCTCTAACTTCACTTTACTATGTTTCTATGATTCTATGGTTCTATGATTCTATTCTTATGACCTGTAGAAATATCAACCACGGTGAACAAAATTTAATATGCACCCCGATTTCTTTGGCCACGTCTAAAGGACTTGCCCCTTGGAAGCCCAACCTTTGGGCTTCTGGCAAGACAGAAACACAGCCCTGAGCCCTGCCAAGATCCATGCGCCTACATCAGTCCCCTCGGTCACACAGGAGCTCCTGTTTTGCCCTAGAAGCAGAGCCGGTACCTTTGGGATGACGTATTGTCGGAAAGGGGTGTCTTTGGCCACTGAGTGGGGGAGACTCAGTGGGACGAGAGAGATGAACCTCTGGATTTCGTGGATGACGGCATCCGTGTAAGGCATCTGCCCGCGGTCAGCTATGCACGGCGCCCTGGCTCGGCCGACCACGCGGTCAATCTCTTCATGCACTTTCTCTGGAAAGGGATGGGAAAGGCTCAGCACCAGTGCCCTGACATGCCATGGAAGCTTTAATATTGTCTTTTATGGATTTAAACCTTTTTAAAGTTAAAAGGCAGGGTAAAATAGTTTAAATAAAGAAAGAAATACAGCAGTACAGGATGTATGGTGCATGGGGGGCTTTTGGGTCCTCTATGTGAATTTTTCTTCTAAATAGTCTCCATTCTCCAGCTCTATCCCCCGGTCACCCCTTACAAAGAAGTTGCACTCCGAGATGCAGGCCATTATTTCTTCATGGCCCAACAACATATTTCAGATAACAGGTGTTCTTCAGAAGAGTTGGGTGCCTACTTTTATTGAAGGGGAAAACAGATACATGCTCTCTGCTTTTGA